TTATATAATATATATATGTATGTATTATATAATATAATATATATATATATATATATATATATATATTATATTAAATGTTAAGTATACATTTTTTAAAAGAAAGTAATATATAGGTAGATCAATTTAAAAAATATGAAAATAGTAGCTATATTATATTATACTATTGCGGATAATGTTTGCCTTGGACTGACTACTGAATATATATGATATAATAAAGTAAAAAACAGTAGTAGCAATGAAATATGTATTTCTACTTTTAATATTAATATAAATTCTAGGGAGATATAGTCTGTATTGGGAAAGTGTGTTCCACAAAGAATTTTTTTATTTAAACAGAAAAATAGGAATTTATTGCTTTCGAACATTGTGCCTAATCAAGAAGCTACACAGAGTGTTTCACATTGCAATGGTATTTTGTTCATTATGTATATTACGTTTATACAAGACGACGTATGATACATATGTAATTAGTTTTTTCTCTTTATAATCATATGTTAATAGTATCAAATTATTTAATTATTGTATTTGTATAAATTTCCTTGTTCATTTCTCATAAACAAAAATATTTATGTGTAAATTTAATTTATATCGTACTATGTACCGATCCAAAGTTATTAATCGTGAAAAAAATTTTACTAACAAAACTACTGCGTTTTCATCTTCTATTTTTAGAAGTAAACATAATACATATATGTTACACAGAAATGTCAAGAAACGAGAAAGCAAGAAGTTTTATAATTTCAATGAATTGGTATATCTTAATATCAGATATTGAATACGTAATTTTAAATATAACAAATATATTTCATCAAGATGATACATCAGTTTTCTTTGATATTGGAAGTTAAGTATTTCTGAAGAAAAAATATTAATCCAGAATTGAGGTATTGATTTCATAATAAATGTCAGGCTTTCAATAATAATATGAATGGACTGAAAAATAATATTACGAATGTTTATATAACAAAATTGTAAAATCATCTTTAATGTTGGAAACAAGGTGTACCCGTGCTGAACTGTTCATGTTAGAAAGATTATAAATATATTCTTCTTTATATCCAAGGAAAGATCATAGTTACCTAGAAAATGCACCGCCTATATTTTTTGTCTAAACTCGTTTATATATACATTTATTTTGTAACACTTCGTGCTAAGTAGTATTTGGAGATGTGATATTATTATTACGGACAGCTATATTGTAATGTATGTATTACTTATTTTAAATCCCTAAATGGGTATAATTTCATTTTCATTTGCAAATAACACCCTTATCCTAAAATCTGAATATCATGATTTTTAAATAATATGAAACGACATTGCGGATAATACTGTTTATGTATTAAAAAGAGTTTATGTACTATGAGTACATGTATATGAATCCAGTTTTTATAATATATATATACGTTATGATCATTTATTTTTAACGTATTGGAAAATTTCTTTGACTTAAAAATATATTAATATTGTTTAAAAATCCTGGTATACATTGACTTAATGTAAAAAGTAAGAAATTAAGGAAAATAAGCATTATAAAGTAGTTATAACATGTTGTTGGTTGCATAAGTTGTTATATATGTTACTTTAAATACTGAATCAAATGTCTAGAAACAAAATGCAAGAGCAAATTGTCTGCTGCATGTGCTCTATAGACTGCGCATCGATTACTGCTTAAAACTATTTGCTTAGGACATAGTATAATTTGAAGAAGAAAACAATTGTATTCATAGCCATGTACAATTTGTTAAATCTTCATTACATTTCATGTCCAGTAAATAATCTTTTACTACAATTTCTTAAGTATGTGTTCTTCATGGGATGCTAACACAAGACAATAATATATTTAACAGCAACAATTAAAAGTTACAAAAATATTACATGTAACCAGTACTATCTTTATTCTCTTTAAATGTTTATCTGTTAAAATGAATTGTATTTCTATTTATTTAATATTTGAACAAATTTTTATTACTTCATTTGATGTTTTGATACTATGTCCTATGTACTATTTCTGATATATTCTTACTTTTATGTATCAAACAATGCATCCTATATAAAATTTAAGCCCTACTGAAATGAAGGAAGTTGTACAAGCACGTTATATGTGTAGGGCCATGCAGAAGGGCATATGGAAAGAAACTAATGTTATCAAATACAATGTTCCTTACAAAATGCACGCAGGATAGAAAATTAGTATGTATGTGTCTATCGCATTATTATACGATATTGAAAGCGGTGGTGACTTTAAATGAATTAAGTTATCGAACAAAATATTGATCAATTGATTGAAATTCATTTTTTTGCAATTTCTAGAGTTATTACGCTCAAATATACATTCAGTTAGATGTTAACGCTTTGTCACAAATGATAAGGAAAATTTTTAATTTGTATTTTCGACAAATATATTGATAAAAATACGATTTACTTTTTGTAAATCATGTTAAGCAATGTTTTCTGTTTTTATACTACACTCTGTGAAATATCAATTTTGTAAATTTAAATATTTCTTTAAGTATACACATCATGTACAGTAAAATCTACTTTTTAAATGTATTATTTTTTATGTGTAAATAACTCGCATGAAAAAAGAGATTTATGTTACAAAAAATAGTAAAATATGAGTACATACATCATCCAAACAATCAAATTTAGTAAAAATTATTTCTGTAGAAATTTTATTTCTTTTTCATAAAATTATAATAGTATTACTTCCTTTTTTAATTTATTCTCAAAATTATCCTTGCATTTTTATGTTATCATTCAAATTAAAAATAATAGTAATATTAATTCTTGTCTTTTTTCACTAGTTTAAATCTGGCAAATATTGGTATATACTTCTAGAAAAAATTATTCGCTTGTTATGCATTACACAAAGTGTTACATAGTTATTACTTATAGTTCAGTCTGAATAAGAGGGACCACAGTACCATATGTTAGAATGAATTTATCATTTATGTATTCTAAGATGTTTTAGAAGATTACTTATGTTTGAAATATTAATTTATTTAATTTGAAGAACATATAATTTTTTCCTATATTTCAAATTAAATTAATCTGATACATTAAAACTTAATTATAATGTCAGGGTTTAATTGTATCATTTACATATCATATACCTCACATATGGTGAACTTCAGACATGGTAATCCTCTAACACATCTTTAAAATAATCATATTTTATTTGTGTAGATCTCCCAGCTTCTCAACAGTCAGGATCTAATAAAATATGTAAGAAAAAAACATTAAATGTTGCTTCAGTATTTAAATGCACACGTCGTCTTAATTTATGCTTTTAATGTAATTATGTGTACAATACGACAAATTTTGTTACAGCTTTATGTAATATATTAAAATATGAAATTCATTTTATTCTTATAACATGATTTTAATGTGAAACACTTTTTCATCGATTTCAGAGGTAGCCAACTCATGTTAATATGTGCATTAATATAAGATATGTACAATTTGTATCTTTACAAAATTGTATTATGTTTTTGTTACCCATCAGTATTGAATAGATTTATGTATGTGTGTAATAGATACATGTATATTGAAATCATGCACGGACATTAGTTAAAAGCTGATTGAAAAGATACAATCAGTCATGAGCGGTACTCGTAAAAAACTATTTGCAAATTCATCACAGATGAGTAATGCAAAATTAACAAATTTAGAAGAAATTATAAATATGTTCTTTTTATCCACAAAGCGGATTGAAGGAACATTATTTATACTCTATACTTTTCTTGAGAAAGAAAATGGTGCAACATCGTTAAATAGAAGCAAGCGCAAGAGAAAATCTGGTAATGTTTGTACTTATTGTGAAAAACGAATAATTAATCCTGCTACAGAAAATGCTGCGAAATGCGATTACAGTTTTAATAATTTGTTATCAACGAGTTACCTCTTTATGCTATCGAAATTTAATATTTCACACGTTACAAAATTGTTCACGTATCAAACATTTCTTACTAGTTTTTACGTTAATAAAAGTAATGCAGCATAATGTTGTATTTTTCAAATATGTATTATTATTTCACCCTATAACATTCCCATCCTGTTTTAATTTTATATACGTACAAATGATATATTTCAAAGACATAATATTCATAATATATAATACCACAATTACTTGATTTTGATTATTTGTATAATTTTGTAACAAAAATACATTATATTACTGCAGTAATTTACTGTAAATATTTATTTAAAATTATATCTTATGATTCAAATTCATTTATACATTATGCATTTATACCCATTAAATCAATCTCTATCATCTCTGCCTTATTTAACTACATATTATATTGGTAATTTATTGTTAAACTAATAAGGAGAACAGTAACAATAAATCACCTTTTGTAATAATTTACAATTGATTCTAATTACATTTATAGTTAAAACTGTAATCTTTTCGCAAGCGAAGCACCATCCATCGATTCTAGTAATTTCCTCTTTAGACTAGGTTTCTCTTCTGGTTGACGTTTAACAGATGTAGGAAGAGGTAATCTAGGTCCAGGAGTTGGTGCTGGTTTATTGCTGAAGTATGGCATTTGAAGAGCTTGGTCACATGTACACCTCTCCAAAGGATTTACATTTAACAGACTAGCAATCAAATCTAGGAGATCATCACCAGCAGCAGTAAATATATGTTTCAATGGCATACCAGGAAAAGGTTTAAATTGAATAAAATCTGGTAGTTCAGTCATTCCTGGCCATGTTTCCTCAGTAGGTGTGCCCAATGTCTAAAAATCATACATATAAATATATTAAAATATAATATAATATCACACAAGAATTGTTTTTAACATATAGCAAAATCACTACTTGAAATATTCTAGTAAGCTGGTCTAGGTCAGATTCCCCAGGTAAAAATGGTACACGTAATAAAAGTTCTGCTAATATACAACCAACTGCCCACATATCAATTCCAGTTCCATATAATCTTGCACCATACAATAATTCAGGTGCTCTATACCATCTTGTTACTACTTGATGAGTATTTATTCGATTAGGTGATCCAAAAAACTTAGCCAAACCAAAATCACCTATTTTTAAGACACCTTCTGCATTGACAAGTAAATTGTTTGGTTTTAAATCTCTGTGAAGTATCCAATTATAATGTAAATAATCTAAACCTTGTAAAGTTTGAATCATATATGCTTTAATGTTTGCAGATGTTAAAACTATATTATTATCCTTTATTATTACTTCCAAATCTGTATCCATAAAGTCAAATACTAAAGAAACATTTGACTTGTGGCCAAAAACATCTAAAATATCAACATTATAATATAAATGTTAATTATATGAGATAAACCTTGTGTATATACATGTATGCATAGCGTGTGCATGCGCGGGTGTGTGCGTATATATACCTAATAAACCTATCACATTATCATGGTTTAATTCTTGCAGTAATTTAATTTCACGTAATGCAGTTCTATTTATACCATCCTTAGCTTCTGCACGACTTCCAACTTTAATCTGAAATTGTCATATGTGACATTACAAGAAAACTAATGTTTTATTGGCGTATAAACACATTTATATGATATAAAGTGTCAAACCTTTTTCACAGCAACAATTTTAGACGTTTCAACATCTTTGGCTTTATATACAGTAGCGAACTGAAACAAGATTGATAAATATTTTAATAATATTAAAAAGGAATTTAACCAATAACTAACCTGTCCTTCTCCTAAGAAATCGATTTTCTCATATCTTCGTAATTTTTCTGTCATCTTTTCTAAATATAACAATGCCTTTACCTTTTTATAAAATCTATTGTTTATTTAAAAATATTTTATACAATAAAAATGTATTATTCACGGGGTACGTTTTAGATAATTTTAAATGAATCGTACACAACAAGCTAAGAAACATTATAGCATGTCGTATATGATGATTTACACGTGCTTCAACACGTGTTATATATTATTATATAGATAGATTTTTAATTTAAATATAATAATATTATCAAATATCTCAACTGATACACATATAATTATTTTGTACAAAAATAATTAGTTCTTGTACTGAATATTTGAAAATAAAGTATACAAATCTAAAAATTGAAATTAAAATGAATTATATTTCAGTTCCATATTAAAATTGCCTTTTTATTTAAATTTTGAACTGATTACGTATTATTAGCATTAAATTCATTATTTTAAAAAATATTTATTTAATCTTAATACCAACCACAATGAATGTTTTGACACAAACGAATTAAAGAATTTGTTCAGATTCTGTTGGCGCGAACACGGGCGAAAGCGCTAACACCACGTGGTCGCTCTAGTTAGTATGCTTAGGGAGAATTTAGCGGGAGTTGAAATATCACACAAGGTCAGAGCCGATGTAACAATAAATAGTCTTTATTATTGGAATAGAGAATATGTTAATATAACTAGAAGTTCCGCCTGTGACCGGGGCTGTGGCGATTGCAGATGTGAACTGGCTCGTGCAATCACGTAAAACCACTTGTTAGGCCAATAAGGACAGTGCAAGTTCTTCGAGTCACCGATTTAGTTAAAACTTTGCAGGTTTGTAGATATGGCCATGCAGTTTAAAAAAATATATCATTATAGCGGCAACTACTCAATAGTTTTTGAGATATTTACGATTAAAGTTTCATTACTTTCGTAATTACAGATTTATTTCCATCATTTTACTAGTGCAGTCGTGGCCTAAAAGCGATAGATGAATATTCCTGTGGTATTGGACCGTGGTTCGATTTTCGTCCTATAGTTGGTAGTTTTTTAATCTATTTTTGATTGTGCTCATTTTTCGCCTATGAAAACATTGTAAATACACAATTATAAATAAAGTTTCTTCATAAAAAAATTTATTCTTTACGCTTCCTTATGCTAGTTTATATTTATTACAAAATAATAATATTATGTAAGAAAAATACTTTTCTATAGCAATCTTGTTTACTACAGGAAATACAAAACCTATCGCGCATGTAAGTATTAATTATTAAATTAAACATCCTATAAGAATGTTGCCCATAATTCCAACTTTACTGTGCAGCTATAAATTTTCATGAATTAATTACAAAAACTTGGCGATTTATTAATTTTTTACTGTCGAATTGATTTCTAGTATCCAGTTCGAATACAAATTTTACCGCCTGCGATCAGCGCCACCTATGACTTTGGAATAGTTTCGCAAATAGTTTACTAACTCTGGTTACGTGCACCTAATATATTTTAATTTATTTTAATAAATAAAATCATAAAGTTTTCTACATTCTCTAATAAATTCAGCCGAAACAGCGGTTTTAATTAGACAAACAGCATTAATTTCTTTACCTGGCAGACGACAAATATGCAAAGGTACGCCTTTACAACGCAATTATAAAATTTCATAAATTAAACACAGAAATTGAGCGATTTGTTAATTTTTCTCCAAATGAACAGGAGGGTGCATGGAAAATGAGAAAATATTGCAAACAAATGTCGGAAGCATTGTTGTGTCCATGCAGGTGTGCCTGCATCACGAAAAGAATGTAAGTATTTATATTAACATAACCTTTAGTTATAATTAAATAGTGTACGTTAGAAAAGACAATATTCTTTTGAAATAAACAGGCACGTGTAACAATAGAACAATATTGAACTCATGGAATATCATCAGCGTAGATGCCAAGAATTATACTTTATAGCGAGAAAAAATTGCAGCAGCAATATAAATATGTAAAGTATGATATGTTTATTGCATTCTAGGTCGATTAACCATATGACATACCAGATAGAAATCTGTGATAGTCAAATAAAAATTTAGAAAATGAAGATGGTTTAGGCTGACAAAAAGAAATACAATTAATTTAGGTGATGGCCTGTTATAACAACAAGATATGGAGAATACAGTGAGATTGAAAGGTATGTTGTGTTCCTGATATAAATGAATATTAATATCAGTGGTCAAAGTCAATGATCATCGCTAATGTGTTAAGTTTGAATAAAAGGAATAAGAAGAGGAAATGTATATTATGTCAAATCAAGAAACAGAAAAGAGGCAGCATATGTATCAAGAGAGAAACATGTGTGGCATTGACTTGCAAATATGAGGATCGTTGAAGAGATGGAGAATGAACAATTGATAACAGTTATGAAAGGTAAAGTTAAATTGAATATAGAGTATAAATTGACTTGGAAACTATAAAAGAAGCAATTATAATGGTGCTGTGGCACATCATGGACTTAATTGGGCCAATAAAGTCAATGTCAAAAGGAGGTAAAAAGTATGATTATTCGAGAAAAGAACCATTTGGTTGACTGATTTATAAATAACTAAAGATTTAATATGAAATATTATTGATGAAGGATTTTTTCTATTATAGGAGACTTACAAACATGAGTAATATTTGTATGCAAGAGCCAGCCACTAAGGGTAAAGTAATAAGTGTCATTTTATAATATTTCAATGGATTGTATATCTGTTTTTAAAAATTTAACCGATATACAATATTTACTTTCTAAATTTCTATATCAATGTATTAAATAATTTCTAATTTGAATTACAATAATAAATAATTAATTTTAATAAATTTGACTTTAAAAGTATTTTACATTAATCAAACTAATATATTTGTCAAACTAGGTTGTAATGATACTGAGTTAGAATTATGGGCAAAAGAAACTCCATACAATTATGTATGGAAGGCTATTAGAATGACACTGTATTTCATAGGATTATCAAAGGATTCATAACACAAGGTGGTAATCCCACAGGTACAGGAAAAAGTGATAAAATATATGGAGAACCATTTAAAGTGAGACTATATTTAAAAACAAAATGAATTCCTTTCTTATTCAAAAATAGTTATTGGATATATGTGTTTTAGGACGAATTTCATACAAGATTACGTTTTTGTTGACGAGATTTAATTGCTATGTCTAATGCTGGAAAAGATGACAATGGTTCCCAATTCTTCTTTACTCTTAGTTTTACACCAGAATTGCAGAATAAACATACAATATTTGGTGAAGTTGCTGGAGAATCTATATATAGTATGCTTAAACTCGAAGAAGTACTTGTAGATGAGGTAAATTTAATGTTTTCAAGAATATATATCCAGCATTGATATAAATATAATATTTCCTCTGTTTTGTAACATGATAGACTACTTTATCCTCTAAGATTGTTAAAATCTATAATATTGAACAATCCATTTTCTGATATTATACCAAGAATAATAGTATAGGAAAGTGAAGAAGTAAAGAACAGTTCAAAATCTAAAGCAGCAGCAGTAAGGTAAAAATCATATATATTTGTAGAATTTAGTCCTGATAGTATTATTCTTTACAATGACAAATTTTGTTACAGAGATTTCAATCTTTTATCATTTGGTGAAGAAGCAGAGGAAGATAAAGAAGAATCTGTGATACTAA